GTATGAGACCGTCAATTAGGCAAGCAATCCAAGTACTTAATTTTGAGGTACCACCTCCAAATCTACCTAGTAAGATGCCGGCTCCAAATTATGATGATATCTCTAGTGCTCCCATCATCAGAATAAGTGAACCTGGTTCACTCAGCATTACTATCCCTCGATAATAGCTGAGTCTCAATTGCTACAAGTTAATTTTGATAATAATTGAAAATGTGCGTTTCTGTAAGATGAATGGATTCTTGGCATTGCAATTTGAATTTACTTCTAAACTATTTATTTGAATAGCTAATTCCTCGCTGTTTACCACAAGATCTTATATATCGAGGTGTTTGTGTTGTTTTCTAGTTGTGTAAGTGTGGATACTTACAATTTGATTATGCAATTTTTGTTGAATGTTAATTTTAAAGATAAATGTGGCTGAGTGATGGCAACTGAAGTTGATTTCAAAGTTATTAGCAAAGAAGAGGAAACTCATAATTGATTTCAGAACTGAGTAATTTAATTTTTTTTTTTTTTTGACATAATTGTTCGTGCAAACAGGCCATGCATTTGCACTTGTTTATTCTTTGAGATTGATAAACAAGGCACTTGTTGGAGCATCCTTCCAAGTTGGTGATACGCTGCCGTTTTCCATGTTAAATTCTTATTTGCCTTCATGTGTGTATTATGAGAAAAATTTACAATTTTTTCCGCATCTGATTTTCCTCCTAGAGACTGACATGTAACAATTAGTCCCCCAGAATCATATTGTTCTCTCCTTAAGAGACTCGCCCTCTTCTCCCATGACAGATCTTGAATATTAAGCCGGAATATTTATACATCATCTACAACTTCTGTTGTTTTTCTAGATATGAGAAAAGACCAACAAAATCTTGTCATCATATTCTACCAAGTATTTAGTGAAATTCTTTGACATGGTAGGAATAATGATTTCGACCGGTTGTCAATTTTAACCAATAAACTAAACAAGATATATATTTATCACTAAAATATTAATTCGACCTCTTAACTTTTAAGTTTATACTCAAATTGTCTTTCAATTTGAACAAGTACCAAAATTATCTTTGAATTTTAACTTTTAATACCAAAATAATCGTTGAATTTTAAACAAAAGTACCAATTTAGTTCTTAAATTTTAAAAATAAGTTATCAAATTAATCCTTAAATTTTGATTATAAATATTAATTTAAATTTTTTAACTTTGATTACATGTCAATTTAATATATAATTGAAAATATTCTACGATGGCAAAATATGACTATTTGGTTTTATATATCATTAGTATTTAAAAAAATAAACTGATTTCATGGTAATGACTCATGTTATACTTCTGTTAATAAAAGGATTATTTCAATGTAAAAAAAAATTTTATTTAAGAATAATTTTGATATTTTTTAAAGTTGAGAGACAATTTTAATACAAATTTGAAAGCTAATGGATTAAATTAATATTTTAACCTATATTTATTAATCATTGCAAGCACTAGTAAGATTTTATAAACGGAAACCGACACCAGCACCTATTAAACTTTATTAATCCGTAGCAACACCCCTCGCAAAAGTTAAGGGGCACATTACTAGGTCCCTGAACAAATTTAGGGCGTAAATGGTGGGTAAAAATTTAATATTATTTTTGTTCAATTTTAGTTCTCTTAATTATTCTTTTTTTAATTAAAAATTTAATATAGTATATAAATAACATTTTAATTTTTTTAATTAATTAAATTAAACTACTCAATAAAAACTACATATGAGGAAAAGAAAATTTTCATTTGTTATTTATATATTTTGTTAAATTTTCATATAAAATTAATGTTTAAAAATCAAAAAATTAAAATAGAACAATTAAAGATATAGTGAGAAAGAATCTTTCAGAATAAAAGGGTTGGCTAATATTTTTTTGAAAATTGTTCAATATCTTCCTTCAAGATATAGCAAAAACCTAATTATGGATGTTTTCTACAGCAAAAATTATGTATGGAAAGCAATTGGGCCTTCGGCCTTGCATAATTACATGGGGTCGTGTTGACCCTACAAAATTACTGTTTGTTCTCCTTTATAGAAGACAGCACCAGAACACTTTCTTTGTTCAGACTAACTTTAATTGAAAGTTAGAACAATTGACTTCCCTGTTGCCTTGAGACTGGAGTCGTTCTTCTCCCCCACCCCCTGTGTTTTGTTTTGTTTTGTTTTATTTTGAGAAGACCTTGACTTAACTTTTATTGAGTCTTATAATGAGAAATGGCAAATAGAAATGGCAACTATATTTTCTTTGTTAAATATTTACTAATTAATTTAATGGTTGATATTATTGTGAATTTTTCTATTGATGGATGCTTTACCTTTCACTTTCACAGTCACCTTCTTCCATGTTGTAACTCCTCACCATTAAGGAGTCAATCCTCACCATTAAGGAGTCAATCCTCACCATTAAAGGGTCATTCATGATTTCACTAAAGGCCATTCAAGAATTCATTAAGGTACCATTCATTCTCTCATTTAATTCTATTTAATGGCTAATCTAACCCCCATATGTCCCTTAGCCTATATATGAGTCTACAAATTGGTATGATTTGTTTATGGAAAAGTACATGATGAAATAAGAAAATTCTCTCTTTTGTTTGCTACATTGCTATTTTTTTTTTTTTATAATACATTATCGGCATCATTGTCTCCACCATTCAATTTGTGACAAACTCTTAATGTGATCCTTCGTTTTCTAATTTCAATTTGATTTAATATCTAATAAATTTTTATAGCCCCAATGT